TGTGTTGCTCGACTCGCGCCTCCCATCATTGCTTGTCAGCCCCGAACCTTTCTCTTTCGGCACTTGACATCTCTTCGTGCTGCTGTCTCGTCGATACTTCTCCCTTTTCTGATGCCACTGAGCAGATCTGTGGTCCCTGAACGCAGAGTGCCTCTCTAATCGGTTGCCATGGGCCTCGTTGCGTTGTCGATGACATGTTCAGTTGAGTTGATGGCAAGGCTCGTCGGTTTCAACTGCTCACGAGGCTGCTCAGCCTGATAGCGATTTTTGTCGTTTTGGTTGCCTTTTCGCACACCGGTTGCCTTTCTTCGACCGGTTGCCTTTCTTCGACCGGTTCGCCCGATCCTGGACTTGGCCGAAGATGACTCCTCCGGAAGAAAGTTCGTCCGAGACCCGGAAGAAGATGCCTGCCTGGGTCCGCGATTCAGGCAAGAGTCCACGATGATGGCGTCGCCCCTCTGTCGACTGCTTCGGAATGACTTGAGGTCATAAGACCGGATGATCGAATATGGAAGAACTCCTGGTACCCAACGCCCAACATGCCGGAAAGAACATGAAGACCATGAAATCCCAATCAACAGCGATCGTCGCGCTGGAGACAGATGCATAGCAATGACAAGCTGGCAACGATCAGCCAAAAATAAAAATGTGAACGACCGCTGTCGAGACTCACCAGAACATATAGGAAATCTTGCACTCACCACCCTCCCTCCACACCTCGCTATTGACGCTCTTCGAACGCCTTCTGGCAGTCCTCAATGAGGATAGCGAGCCTGGCTAGTCGCTGCTCGCTCCCCTCTCTTCGAGACTGGCCTGGAAAGTAAGGCCCTTCAAGGCGAGGTTCCTGGCGCCAGCCGGCCAGGACCTCGCTTTCGCCTCCGATGAGAGAGGGCATGGAAGATGATGAGGAGGAGGAGGAGGAGCAGGACATCCCAGACTCCGACCCCGACGAAGCGACCGAGGAGGTAGTCCATGCCTGCTGGCTGGATTGTACGCTCTGTGTTGAGGAGCTGCCCCAATTGTCAGCATATTTGAACGAAGAGTGGGCGCAGGGACTATCGGCTGTGTGATGCAGGGGTCAAAAGTCATTCACAAGTACAAGGTGCTCCTATCACTGGTGCAGAGAAGCATGTTGTTCTCGCCCTGCACCCGATTGACGAGCGAGCTCTCACGATTGTAGGAGGGGGACCCTCTTCGGGGATTGTCCAAATGGCCAGGTGGACCGCGACAATCAGGCGGGCAGGTGAGTGTTTATCTAGATGCGAAATGAAACCTTCTCTTACCTCATCTTGCTTCCTCACAACTGTTTTTGTTTCAATCTTGGTTGCTGTGCTATCGAGTCGGATGGTCGGGTGGATGTCGCAGACGGCAGGTGGAAGTGAAAGTGATCCGAGATTAGAGCAGGTACAATAGTTTGGAGAACTCGCAGTAAGATGTAGTTAAGTACGAACGTTCGTCATCAGAAAGATCTGAAGATTGCTGGTAGAAGGTATTATGTTGTTGCCCGAACGAGAGGGTTGGTGCCAGAGTGGTTGTGTTTGACTGGGAATTGGAGGTTATGGCAGAAGTTGCAGTTGGGGCTACGCAGCACTTACAGTACAAGTGACGGGATCCAGGCTGTCGCAAGGGAAAACCACTTTGGCTCAATGAAGCGTGAAGGTGCTGCCAGTCTAACTGACCAAAGGGGAAACGGTCTTGCAAAACGTACGCAGTACAGCTCTGGTATCTGCCATCAGCAATTACCAGTAAAAGCGTCGAGTCGCCTAACATCATACCGAGCTGAGCGTCGTTTCGTGGAGTAAGGCCGTATCAATCCATGCGCCTGTCAGCGATCGGCCCGCCACGCCGCTTGATTCTGACTCTTCACCGTTAGCACATCGGTGCACGACACTTTGCGCGGGTGACGCGTCTTTGGAACTTCTGCTGAGCACAGTAGTTTTCTACCATGGCCTGTGCTTGACCGTTGCTTCATTTTATTTTGCTTTTCCTGCTCACAGCAATGATTTTCGGTGCAGGGCAGGATGATCCTCTGTTGGGCAGTGGTCAGACCATGATTGGCAGGCCTCCTTAGGGCCGTCTGCAATGACCATCGTCTCGAGGCATGTTAATCCTTTTTTTTTGACAGGCTCCTCTCGCACAACAGTATCTTGCGGCTCTGCTCTACTGGGCCATTTTGTACTGCTGGTGCTGCTACTCGGGAATTTACACTTTGGTCGATTCACTCGACTCTCACTACAATCTGCAAGCACTTTAGATCAAGGATAGCTAAAATAATTTCGTCTTCCTCGCTCTTGCAAAGTCCCAAACCGAGAGTGTCTGGGGCACTTTTCTCGCGTCCAGAATCATCAAAACTTGATGTGACAAGTCCCACGTGGCTATTTCAAGTGCAACATTGCCCAGACGGTTGTCAGAGGCACACAGATCAAGTCTCACAGACACTCGGGTCCCGCAACGGAAGAATCAACGCAACAAAAGGCCCACGCTTCAACCCTCGACAGCTCAATGACACCCTGCCAGTGCTCCCCGTGCGGGGATGAGGGGCTTGGGTTACGTAGCTGTCCGGGCAGCGTGGGATATAGAACGCCTATCGATAAGCGCACGGTGATCCCTGGATCCCTCGTGAATAGCCCTTCGTGGTGGTTAGTGCTCGGTCTGGACCTCGGTCCTCGTACGCTGCTATCCCAGGGTGCCCAGGCACCCACAAGGGTCCAAGTTGTTCGATCTCACAGTTACAATAGCTCAGTGAAAAAAGAGATTACCTGAGTTTCCAACAAACACTTATTTTCATTTGTCAACTTAAAATTGTCAGTCAATAACGCTGCACAACACGATTCTGTACGTTTCCCGATGAGGGATTTCTAACGACATCGGGCTGTTGAAGATCTGGTCAAGGGGCCGCCCGCATCCCTCGAGCATCCGAGGTTATGAGATCTCCTACAAGAACTCGTACACGCCAGTGTGCAGCACTGACGACCGCCTGTGCACTGTTTGTTTGGCGGATGTGTGGTCCCGATGTGGAGTACAATCTCCGGCGCAGCGTAGCCTAGCCGGCATGCAAGGACCTTCTGGCCACGCGAAGTGCCGAACAAGTCGTTCGACCCTGTCAGGAATATTTTTGTCGAGATCTGCCTGACCAGGGCATCAACAGCAATGGCGTCGGGTTGAAGATCACGGTCGGTCATTCTAAGGCTGTCAACGACTGGCTTCACACCTTGCTGTCCGGAATTATCTGGCAGGTGGTCCTGCCTCTTCCCGGCCGGCACGAGCCTCGCAACGGTCGATTCCCCCCCTAAGCAGAACCTTATGCGTGGATCCTTTGCTATCCCAAGCCAGTTTGTCCCCGTCACCCTAGCTCGCCCCTGCTGCAAGGATGCTCGTTCCTTGTGTAATCCTTCCATTGACGCTTGGTTCCCGTGGAGCCAATGCACAGTACATGCTCGCGCTTGGGTCCGTCGATGCTTCCATGCTCTGCTTCCTGTACCGAGTTCTGACATCAACTGAACCGCCGCCAAGGGACGGAACTCGTGTGTCTGATGAGCCAGTGCCTGGTTAAGCCTCGATTGATTCCGTCTAGGGCAAGTATTGACTTTGGTATCAAAGAAGGACGGATGCCACCACCCAGGCTGATCCGAACCTGAATTCGCGGCAGTTTAACAGCCTCTGGAGGTTTCCAGGCTTCGACCTAGTTTGATAAAGAGACGACCGTCTGCTCGTCATTCCCATGAAATGCTGCGACTCCTTCCCTTCAATCTAATCAGCGACGAAATGGAGCGCATTCGCGTAGCTGTTCCCGAGATGTCCCGTGCCGAGCGACTCCACTACTACCACGAACACGCCTACAACTACGACCATTTGCGCCTTGGCTTTGCGAGGTCACAAGATCACCATCGTAAACAAGCACAAGTGTTGAAAGCCCTCGATATTCTTCTGACCCTGTTCGACTCGACCGCTCCAAGCGCAGCGCCCACTGCTATAGCTCGCGACTCAGCAAGGCGTCTCCCAGAAATGGGTCCGTTCCGTCCCTTCTGAATTTACTCCGCACAAAACTGACACGTACCAGTCTTCCTTGGGTCTCAGTTCGACAGGGCATGAGGGATTTAATTTGCAGCAATACGACATGACGACGAAGTACACCCTGTCTGGCTTTGGTCATCTGTGACTGGCGGAAAATGCTGCTAGATGGGCGGCTCGGCCCGTTTCTGATGCGGAGAGCAGGAGATGCACCGATGAACGCGTCGCGTGGATCGTGCATCCTCTTCGACGGGCCGCCTCACTTCGAGAACACGCCTCTTGCCCGGCAAAGGATGCATGGTTCCGGGAGCACCTGATCCTACCTCGTACCACTTTACTGTGGTACATTTGTCTGTGTACGAGATCCAGGTACATCTCATTAATACGCGTATCGTCTAGAGCCCATGTGGGCGTGGTTGTTGACTGGTGCCGATGGTGTTATGTCTCTTTGGGGGAGATCGTATTATCGGGGGGAGTGAAGGCTGGTTTCCTGCACCTTTGATAGGTTGGCGTTCGTGCTGAGACAGTAGTTGGCAACCACGCAACTCTTCCTCTAAACGAAGTCCTTGCTTTGGAGTTTTGCTGAGCCGAAAACTCAATGATCCTCTTCGAGCACTCCGCACTTTATTAGGTGCCCTCAAGCTGACGTCATAGTGCTCTTCCCGTTAGTGTCGTGGCACTTAACCCGAAGCTTCGACAAGCCTCCTTGATTGGAAGCAAGCATTCCCGCCTAGCGCCACTCAGCCACAAGCAATCCCAGTTTTCCAACTTAACGCCCCTTTCACGAGTTCGCAGTCCCGTCAAACCGCATCATCGGCATGCCACCGTGCCACATATCTCGTACTCCAATTTCGGACTGTATCTTTTCGGACTGATCTTCAGCTCATTCTTGGCTTTCAGATGTCTTTTACCTTCTTTGCGTCAGATATTCGACCTCCCTCTATCCTCCTTGTCTACTCGCGTGGCATTGGTGTCACATAACAAAAAGAATGCGTACGTCAGCCCTGTCTCGTACGCGGATCGAAGTACACTAAATCTCGTTGCATTAGATCGCGTCAAAGCTTGGGCGCACACATCTGCCCACAAGCACAATTTCAACCCGTGGTCCCCGTCACACGACAATCAACCCTCAGACTCGGGCAAGAGGCCGTCGCAGGATGGGGAACCGGAGAAGAAGGAGAAGCCTAAGCTCTCGGTCCTCGGTCGCGTCCTTGCTAATGTCAAGGTCGCATTATTTCATTCTTGGGTGAACGTCCTATTGGTCTTTGTGCCAGTCGGCATCGCTGTTCACTTTGCCGGACTCAATGATGAGGTGGTGTTCGCCCTGAATGCTGTCGCCATCATCCCCTTGGCCGGCCTCCTTACCTTCGCTACCGAATGCGTTGCCCACCGACTTGGCCCCACGTTGGGCGCCCTGCTGAATGTGAGCTTTGGAAACGCCGTCGAGTTGATCATATTGTACGTCGCCAATTTCTACGATTTGCGAGGCTTGCTAACGTGCTGCAGCATCATTGCCCTCGTTAAAAATCAGATTCGCATTGTCCAAGCATCCCTAATCGGCTCGCTTCTCGCCAACTTGCTGCTCATCCTGGGAATGGCCTTCTTGATCGGTGGCCTGGAATACCAAGAACAGATTTACGACAGTACTGTCACTCAGATGTCGGCCTGCCTTCTTGCGCTTGCAGTATTATCGTTACTGATACCTGTGAGTGACACCTCAGTATGACCACCATTTAACCCTTTCAAAAGGCTGATTGGCATTTTCAGACAGCATTTCACGCATCTTTCAGCGATCTGCAGAAAGCCGATACTGCAGTCTTGAAGCTCAGCCGCGGAACATCGGTTATCCTACTGATCATCTACGTCCTCTACTTACTCTTTCAGCTCAAATCGCATGCATATCTGTATCAAGGTACGCCGCAACATATCATCGATGAAGAAGCCACTCCCGGAATCCTCCAACGTTTCGACTCTAGCAGCTCTTCGTCCGCCAGTTCTCTGGGGTCTTCTGTCTCGACGGGCGGGTCACATCGGCGCGTGAGCAAGAGAATCAGGGCTAAGCTAGGCAGAAGAAGACAAATCAAAACGGAGGTGGAAGAAGAGGCGGACAACAAGGGGTCATCTGCGCAACCGGGCCCGGCTGTCGCAGACTTCCAAGCCGAAACAACAGCGGAGCCAGAGGAGATAAACGATCATGACAGAGTCACCCTGCAGCTGCCCGCGAGCTCTCCAAAGTCGGCCGTAAGACCGGGCAATGAATCAAGGCAAGGAATGCCGACAACCCCTGCGGATGCATCATCGAAGGACAGAAAACTCAGTATGGGACCTCGAGGGCTCTCTTTCCGAACTCCACCAGTCTTCCGATCATCGACAAACCCGTATCCTACAGGCAGAGCATCAGATTATCCCCAGTCCTCACTTCGTCATTATTCATCAGCGCCCCACCAACAGAACCAGAGTGCAGGAGCTGCTAGAATTACACGCCCGGCTTCCACTAAAAGTACACAGGCCGAAGAAGAAGATGCTCCTCCCATGAGTCAAACTGCCTCAATTGTCCTCCTCCTGGTCTCCACTGGACTTGTGGCACTTTGCGCCGAGTTCCTCGTCGGAAGCATCGACAGCCTGGTTGAAAATTCGCCTCTGTCAGAGGCATTCATCGGTCTAATCATTCTGCCTATCGTTGGCAATGCAGCCGAACACGTTACTGCTGTTACGGTTGCGGCAAAGAACAAGCTCGACCTTGCCCTGGGCGTGTCACTTGGATCGTCCATTCAGATTGCCCTTTTTGTCACCCCATTTGTCGTCATCCTTGGCTGGATCTTGGACAAAAACATGTCCCTCTACTTCAGCCTGTTCGAGACGGGATCCCTGTTCGTTTCGACCTTCATTGTTAATTTCCTGGTCCTGGATGGAAGAAGCAACTATCTGGAAGGCGCATTGTTGTGCGCGTGCTATGTGATTGTAGCTGTTGGGGCCTATTTCTTCCCGGATGGGCAAGATCAAAGCTCGTTGACAAGTGGTCCGGGAGGGGGGTGATGCCCTTTACCGTCTGAAATCGAAGAGACGATCTTCGATCCTGCGTTGCACAAGGGCGATTACCTCGCCAAAGTGCGCATTGTCTCGAAACCCACGATATGACTGACAGGGGCCACTGCAGCAACTCTTCCCAGGGTGGTGAGCATAAACGATAAGACCTACGCCACAACAAGAAAGCCGGGTCATCGACGCTCTGTATCCTGCAGCAATGATACCCTGGGGGGTCTTCCAGCTTGCAATGGCCCGGGTGAGTGTCCTCTTCCTGTATAGGCTCACCCTACACCGCGAGCGAGAGAAGCCCTGGACTCCGGTCGTTCTATAGACAAGAAGACCAGCCTCACAATGACAGGCCGCTCTCTGCTCGCTGTCGACTAATTACGCCAACGGGAACCTCTAGCTTCCAAGCAGCCAAACATGCGACTCCAGCAAACTGCCTGTGCTATAGAAAAGCTGATGAGGGGCTAAAGTCGCAAGTGAATGAAGCACTGCAACAGGGAGTCGGGAAAGCCAGCAAGCAGCATCACTTCGCCACTGGGACTACAGGGCTAGACTTGCTGGATGCAGTCGACGAGGTCCACGAAAGCTCGCAGTGGGAGCCAGAGACGGTAAAGGTCCCTCTCATTGCCGACCCTCTTCCACCTCAGCAGCCTTCGCATGGCTTTCCGGACTCCACCAAATACTAGTCCGACTGCAATGAATCCACCAGCAGATCTACACCTTTGGAGCTCACAGTTCAGCATTTCCCAGGACGCAGGAACTGTAGATTTCGAGACGGCGATGGCAACTGCGCCCGTGAAGATCTCGGTGCCGTTCGGGCATTCGGGCATCTATCACAGCTACGGTACGGAGGCCTCTTCATCGAGACATTGAAGTGCATTCGTTCGCGAATTCAACAACGGTGAATGTGGCAGCGCAGCCCTGCAACCAGAGGTTCCCCTCAAGGTCAAGATTGTTGATAGCGCGCATCTCAGGAAGCTACCCATAACAAGCTCGCAATCAATCATCCAGCCATGGCGTGTCATTTCATGTCATGCTATTCTGCTTCTGCCATCACCGTCCGTGACGCCCGCCCTGGAAAGCCTCGCTCACTTCCCTTTCGCCTGATACTCCTCCTCGGTGACCTCTTCATGCCACATTGTCTTCCCGTGACTGACAGCCAAATGCATCATGAAGCTCCCGTTGTCGCCCCCGTGCCAGTGCGTCGTGCCAGCGCTGCACCACACCGTATCCCCCACGTTCAGCCGTCTCGGTTCGCCTCCCTTGTCGCAGACCCAGCCCGAACCGGCCATCACGCGGAGCAGCTGTCCATGCTCGTGGGTGTGCCAGTACGTGCGGGCGCCGGGGGTGAACATGACGTGGTTGATGTTTATGGTCGGACCGGCGTCGGAGTAGACTGGACTACGAGTGGACCGATGTCAGTATATGTCTGAGAGGGAGGGTGGTGTGGTTAACGAGCGACAGGAAGGAAAGGAGTCGAGCCGTGGGACCTGGCATAACCACTCACTCCATCCAGACCGTGCCAGTGAATGTGCCGCTCGCCTGCCTGCTCGAGGCCGACGGGTTGCGGGACGAGGAGATGATCGTTGAAGGCATCTCGGATATTGGACTTGGGTGCTGATTAGGTATATCCTCGTGTGGATGTATGTGTGCTGATGAGTGAGTGAGCAAGCTTGTCGGGTCAAGACTCAGTCAAGGACACACATACACGGTCACTGTCGGTCTCTCTCTCTTGATTCTCTCTATCCTGTTTGTAGATCTTCCGCTTATGCCGCCTCTGATAGCCTGTGCTTGCTTCCACCGTGATGGACCAATATCAAAAGTGAATCGACTGGAGACCACGCAGTACTGTCTACACATCCGACGTCGGCGTCATTGGAGACGCCAGCAATACATACACAACCACAAACACAGCATGATTCCCCCACCCCGGTTGGAGTCAGCCGGTGGATGTTCGGCTATCTCATAGCATGAGTTGCAGCTTCTCCAACGGAAGATTCCCGCGGTCACTGACATTCCTCTATTAGCTACAAGTACTCAGTACTCCGTACACAATCCTCGTATCCCACATTTCCACCTTGGACTCAACGGTTACCCTTTCCAGGCGGCGCACGTGGAAACAAGCACCGTGTCGCTACTCGGTACTGAAGCCAATTAGCTACATAGGCTGGTGCATCCTCGTGTGGGTTTGTCCACCTTCACGGTCCACGACGGTCACATTCAGCTTCGTTCCTCAACGCCACATTCAGCCGCACCGGCTTGCATGTTCTGAAGCAGTGTGGATGGTCCTGTTTGGCGCTTCTATTCTACCTGTTCTGTTTTGTCCTGCCTACTGGTGACTGGCTTTGATTCGATGTGATGTGAATTGATTTGTACGCAAAACTAGACACCACAAAGCATATGCGGCGTCAAGCGGCAGGGAGATGCCTGCACACATGGCTCCATCTCAGCTTCCATGGACCCGGCACGGCTCAGCATCCTCTTACGCAAGCCATGTCTTTTAGCCGTCGTGCACAGACGGCAGAGAGATGAAGGTTTGATGGATGGATGGAGGGATGGATATAACCTGACATCTCTCGCAGCAAGCCAGCAAGTATTTGTGTCCCGCGATCTCTCGAGTCTGATGTACAGGACACGCACCGTCACTTTTATTCAACTATTCACAGACCTCATACAGTCCCGTCTGTACTGTACTACACGCCACTCACTGTACGGCGCACTGTACACAGTACTTCACACATCAAGCGTGCTTCTTGCCCCAACCTAACCTAACCTACCCCTTATCGACTCGGTCAAAACCCTCCACCTGGCCCCCTCCCCGTTCGACATCAACATGACTTCCACGGTACAAGCCCACCGCGACCTCATCCCCTTCGACAGCTTCATCTCCTCCTCGGGCGAGCACGGCACCCTCATGGTGACGGACGTGTTCATCCTCCCGGACAAACTGGCCGAGTACATTGCCATGGTCACGCCCGTGGTACACGAGATGCGCGCCATGCCGGAGTGTCTGTGGTGCGAGATTTCCCAGAACCCGACGGACCCAAGCCACATCAGGATCCAGCACGGGTGGACCAAGGCGACCGAGTGGTTTAGCAATGTAAGTACGCGATGATGAGTCACTGGGCGTCCAAGTATCTACCATTAGCTAACGACGCCCGGGCGGGCACCGCCACGGCCCGGGAAGGACAGGCCTGTGAAGCAAAGCCCTGGTTCGCCGAGTATGTTCGAAAATTGGCGGGCATCGCGGACAAGAGTAGAGGACGTGAGTACTCCTCGGTACTGATTCCGTCATCTTTTCCTCCTTAGCATTACTTCTTGGCGAAGGCGAGACTCTGTGGGTCGGAGCGGCCTCAACCCACCATGATATTGGCATGATTTGGATCGTGTGCTGGGGGATGGGTACGTGGAGAGAAACCGCGCTGACTTTAGACCGACAGGGAGTGTTGCCCATTTCGATCGCATTCCGATCAACTGAAGCGCGGTGGTGCTGCTTCTGCAGTAACGGTGTACTTCGGCTGGAGCCTGAGCTGGAGTTGGTGACGGTGCTGGTGCTGGTGCTGGTGCTGGTGCTGGAGCCTGAGCTGGTGCTGGTGCTTTTACTGGTGCGGGCGCAGGAGGACAACTACAAAAGCGTCCATGCGTAGGCGCTCAAGAGTTCTTGTCTGTACGGAAGTCCTTGCTGGCTCGAAACACACCCAGAAATACAGTCACTCGGGTGGATTAAGTACCTAAACCACGTATGTATGTATGTATGCATGGTAGGCTGTTGTGGCTAGCACGGCGTACTATTATGTATTTCGTGCGCGCGTCTCCCGGTCCCTCTGAGCAGATCCTGCATTTGCGTCGAGAGGAAAGTAAGACTTGTGCTGTAATCTAGATTGGGTCTACTCCGTATGTTCTATATAATTCACATCATCAACCCTCTACATTTCCTGGCTGTCTTGTTAGGGACACAGACGCGCGCGCCGCGGCGGCACATACATACATACATACATACGGTGTACCCGATCCATCTTAAGCCAAGCTCTACTCTACTCTACTCTACTCCCAATGTCGCAGTGCTGGTTGCTTCTTAGACCCGCCCGCCCCCCCCGCCTGCTCTGAGTCTCCGTCGACCCTGTTCGTGGTGCCCGAGCCCGTTCGTGACGTCCGGTTCTACTGGCAAAGGAAGAGTCCCTCCTCGTGTTAAGCTCCCAGGCCAGAACCGCCGCGTAACGTGTGAAAGAGGATGTTACTCTGGGGCGCGTGATCCATGATTGAGAAGAGCCCGCCCTTTAGACGTATCGTATCGTATCGTAGCGTATCGTAGCGTAGCGTAGCATAGCCTCTGCTCTCTAGAACCCAGCAAAGCTCTTGCTTTGCAAAGTTCGCAGAAGAACACACTATAGCCGGGACGACGTGAGCCTGCCTCACTCCCGCGGCTGAGTGCTCGTGGTCCGCTCTAGGGCCTTGCTCGGCCTCCCGCTCCGCCGCCAGAGCGTCGACCCGTCCCCGGGATCGACCATGTCGGTCGCGGGCAGCACCTCCCTCAACAGATCGTTGATATCCAGGCCGCGGTCCTTGGCCATCTGCCACTGTCTCGGATAGCCCAGGCTGACCTCCTCGAAGCGGACGCCGTCGCGCCAGTCGGTCCTGCGGACGTGCAGATGGCCCGTGACCACGACCTTGGCGTTGTAGCGCGTATGCCAGTCCTCGGTCTTCTTGGTGCCGCACCACAGCGAGAAGCGCGGGATCGTCGGGATGGTGATGGTGTCCTCCCTCAGCGGCCAGTGGTTCACCAGCACGAGCGGGATGCCTCGCCGGGATGTGGCCTCGAGCCGTTCCTCGGCCTTGGCCACGAGTTCCTCGCACCACTGATCGCGCGACTCGTACGGGTCCGGGTGCAGGAGCGCTTCGTCCGTCGCGACAATGTTTTCCTCCATCGCCCAGTCGAGCGCCCCCTCGCGCGACACGTCGTCCGGCCGGAACGAGTAGTCGTACAGCGTGAACAGCGGGCAGATGATGCAGGGCCCGCCCTCGCCCTCCCATTTCACGTACTCGTCCTCGGGCGTGATGACGCCGTATTCGTTCGCCACGCGCACGCACTCTTCGTACTTGAGTTCGCCGCGCAGTTCCTTGTTGAGCGCGTCGTCCTCGTGTCCGTCCGTCCGGTCGCCCCTGCCCGGGAGGGTGTATAGCTCGTGGTTCCCCGGCACCCAGAACACTTGCTTGAAGAGCTTGGTGGTGATGCGAAAGGCGTCCTGGAGGTGTTCGAGCTTCTCGCCCACGTCGCCGCAGACGATCAGGCTGTCTTCCGGGTGCGGTCGCAGCTCGTCCAAGGCGTCACGGTTGTGCTTGTAGCTGAGATGTAGGTCGGCTATCGCGTAGAGTTTGGTCATGGCGACGAGCCACGCGCTTTCCGTCTGATGGGGACAGCTGAATGGGACGTGCTCCCCGGTGCTCCGCCAAGCCCGGACCCGGGCCCCGTGCTAATTACCACACACAGGAACTCCGGCCTGGTTCCGGAGGGAAAAGGGGGGGAAGGAAGTAAGTGAGCACACCAACTATGGTCCGGTTTCTTGGACAGTCAGATCGCTCATGTGACACAATCAAGGGCGGGCGAAGTGACTGGTTATGGATACCGTTGCACCGTTGCCATGATCTTGCGGTGTGGATCGTCTGCACCTGTCGTTCTTCTGACAATTCCCACGGTGAGTCAATAGGGGGCAGCGTGATGGTGAAAATGGCTTGACGGTGGCTTGAAACTCCCCTTACGAACTCTTCTAGAGAGTAATCAGGCTGAGTGCGTGGATTCGGTGAACGAGATCAAACTGAAGATTCGACTTAGCAGGGTTGACCGACGCTAGCGCCGGTTGTTGGCCAATGAAAGCCCCTTCCGCAACTCCCGGAGCCGCGAAATGTTTATTCCGATTCGGCGCTGGGCCACAAACGAGCAATGGTACGCAATGAGGCAATACGCAATGTAAGGTCTACTCCCTACTACGGTGCACATGGACGTCCATCAATCAGACTCTTGAAGAAATGACACGGCGAAAAAGGTTTGCTGGTGCGGGTGAGCTGACGACAGGAACAACCATACTTCCACGGCCCTGTATCCGGGAGACAGCAATGCGCCAATTCACTCCAAACACAATCAAGGTTGGTCTATACGCAGGTGCTATGGCTCGCCGGACCACTCAGTTCATCTCATGACAGTTGCCTTCGATCGAAAGAGGCCAGGTCGCTCTTCATTTCGCCCAAGACTTGATCAACAACACAAGACGCCATATCCCGCCTCATCATTCGTTCAATCCCACGCAGTGAGTCCCCGTGCAAGGAGCAAAACCGATTCAACTCGAAGTATATGCATGCGCTGTAGTTCTTCCCAAACGCCAGACCGCTCCCCACGGGTGAATTGACGACCAGATTCTGTGCTCATGTCCTGTTCCCATGCGTCAGATCACGCTAATCACATTACGCCAGTTCGCGATCTCATAAGTATCCGACCCCCGAGACCCGTGGTATCGTTTAGATGTGTAGTGTTTGCTGTTCGTCACTCATAAAATCGATCTGCCGCGCTTGGCGGTGCTGCTGCACAAGCAGGTTTGCCCGGAGCACTCCCCGTTGTCTACCGGACCCAATTCTCGTCATCTCTTTCATCGTCCAAGACCAATCGGGGGTCGGACATGTCAGGGGCGGCTGACCACGACGGATCGTCTGCCATAAAGGCGGGAGGTACCTCGGTCTTCGGCTGCTGGACCGGCTCATAAGGAATCACATCAGGGTGTGCAAATCTCATGGCTTCTTTGACCGTATAGGAGTGTTCACCAGTTCCTGTACTTCCGGGCGTGGAGATGCTCGGCGTCAATCCCCGACTCACACTGGACAAACGCGAAGGCTGCTCGGCATCCTGTGGGTTCATCTGCATCTGTGCCAGCTGATTTTGCATCTGCATCCTTTTCGTCTCTGCTTCGGCCTGTTTCAGGAAATCGTCGATGGCGAGACTTCCGAGGTCGTCATCGGCCAGCATGCTCGCTTGAGGAGTACCGAAATAAGACGAGGCCGAGCTGAGCCGATGATGTTCGGAAGCGTCATCTCCGCCAGGACTGCTGAGCTCATTGCTCATAGGTCGATCGTTGTTCCAGCCGTTGATGTTAGAATTCGGAGACGGCTCTTCGGCTTCAGAGTGCTCTCCGCTCGAAGGGCTGATCCCTACCCTGTGGATCTGGTTGGCCAAATCCGAGTGAGAATGCTGGAACGTAGGGGGCTGGGACATCAGATACGGGGAATTCCCCTTGCTGATGGGGTTCAAATTATACATGTTGTTATTGTTACTACCATTGTTGAGATCGAGGCTGAGGTTGGTCCAATCAACTGAGGATCCGTCGTTGATTCTTGACCAGGCTGGTGGCTCGTATTGATGGGCCTGATCGTAGGTCATGAACCAGTTGTCCGGAAACGTCTCCGGCAGAGTGAGATCTTGCTGGCTCGGGTTTTGACTGTTCGCGATGCTGGTAGTTTGAGAGGGCGGCGTATCTGCGCTGAATGGGGAGTAGGCGTAGGAGCGTGGGTCGAAGTTCGGGATTTTGAAGTCAGACAGGGGAGCCTGCCCCGCCATTCTCGTTGGCCCAAGTACAGGTGAGTTATGCTCGGAGCGGACCTTGCGCTCCACGATCTGCATAGCCTCCGTAATCGAATTGTGTAGCGGTGACTCGTGGAAAGGTCTGGCGGATTTAGTCAGTAGAAGGTTGTCGGTGGAACGTTGAGCGAGCTCCCGCTGGCCGTGGAGCGAGTTCGACCTGGACGGGATTTTGTATGGTGTACCAAGCTGGTTATGGGCGTCGTTAAACCTGTGGACCGGTTTGTGATGGCCGTTTGTAAAAATGGTCGTCTTAGGATCGTGGGCATTTTTGTTATGCCATTGCTTGGGGTGGTCCTTTGGCTGGATGTACTGTGGTATATCTTCGGGAACTGTGTCTAGGTGTGGCTCTTTTTTCAGGGAGCAGTTACAACGCGAGCCATGTTGGCAGCAGCAGGTCTGCGGGTCTGCGCGGACGTCAGCGCCATGTCTTGTTCTCCCATCTTGTAAAGCAAGCATACCATGTTTTCCATCATGCTTGTCGTGAGGACAGTTCTCTTTGGAATGGCCCTTGTCGTGGCACTCGCACTTGACATGTTGCGAGCGAGACTTTCGCAGGCCTCGGCAATGTTGGCATTGTGACACGGGACGACCCTTTTTGTTGACGTGGACGAGGAGACGGTCTGACCGAGTGAGCATAGAGGAACCACGACTCTTGAATACCGAAGGCAACTCACCTTGATGGTGGCAAGAACTCACGCGATGACCCCTCACACACGCCTCGCAGGCGAATTTCTCCCCATTGATGAGCATGTTGGATGTTCGCTTGTTCGCGGCGCTTCTTTCGTGCAAAATTCTCCGTCGCAGACAACGATCGGTGCAGGTGACGTTCCGCGATAGGGCTCGATCGGTAGATGTGACGGTCGCAGGACAGCACCAGTACGTACGCCGTCGCCGACGACAGCGGCACGGGTGTGGAAAGTCGAAACGTTGGACTCGGAAACTACCTATCGACAAGGTAGATAAAACTAAACAGAAGCGCCGGATGATGCAGGTGTGAATGTTGTCGGCCACGCTATGGAAGGGTGCGGAAGAGGTGTTGTGGGATGTATTCGAAAAGACTTCGTTAAAGGAACCGCCAGACGCCGCAAGGGTGGACCAGTAGAAGGGAAAGGTGAACCGTCACAATAGCGTCTAGTATGGGTCCGGATCGGCCATGTTGTGCTTCTCGATATCCCGTAGAGGTGCTGTTGTTGTCGGTACTGTGTGCTACGAGCCGAAGGTGTCGAGAAGTGTTGGTTGCAGAGATGGGCGGAGGAGGGTGGAAGGCAAGTTGTTCCAGAAAAGCAACAAGCGAAGACGGCGCGGAAGGATGGAGGTTTTGTTGGAGAAAGCCACTGGAGCAGTGGCCAGTGAGATGCACCGCACAGGGCGGCAGCGCAAGGTGTGCGAGGTGGTATTTCGATTCGAGTTTGGTGGCCTACAGAATTCGCAGAGGATGCTGCTTGCTGGCTGTGAGATGAATAAGGTACGATGTCTTGTACTCCGTACGAATCCACGACCAAGTAAAATTACTTGCCCTTAATATGCTGAATCTTCAAAGCCTGCTTTCGTGTTCCTGATGTTCCGGAAGGGCTTCGAGAACAAACTTAGGTACATACCGACTTTTCCTCGTGCTCGCTGAAGATCGTCAAGCGAGGGGGGAGGGAAAGATGCGGGAGCGGCCCTGGCAAGAACCCTGAGCAATGCAACGAGGGCTGCTCAGGGCAGAGCGTCCCACCCCCCATCCACCCCTCTTCCACCTTCCTCGGGCGCCGCTCTTTGGGCGCGGTGCCTTCGCTACACTGCCACTGTTTTGGGTTGGCCGAGGATCCTAGTCGCCCAGCACAAAGCCTCTTTACCCGGCGGGCACGATGAGGATGCAACCTCTCTCCGCCTCTTTGGCTCTGCCGGGCGTGCATATTCGTAGCTGAAGCTCCTGCCCCGTCGGGATAGTGTCACATGGTTCGCTGCGTGATATAGGGTACTCTGCAGGCTGCTTCTGTACTTTATGACCTCCGCCACTCTTTGAGCCTTCTCCACGGGAATGCATGAAGCACAGAAACATGACCCGGAGAATTACCTTGATCAACCCTGCAAGGAACGAGACAGGAATTGGTCACAAGATATGATTTTTGGGCTACCACGAGGGCCGGCAATACGCCATGGTCAGCCATGGCACGAGTTGTATCAAGACCCGATGATTCCTCTCACCCGGCGCTCACTTTCAACTGCTCCTTCGCCCATCTCGTCGGGGGCGATCGCTCACAGTCTGATCGCTTACTCATGGAGCTTACGACTTCTCCTCTAGGTGTGGCTCTGGTATCGAGGAATTACCGTGTAGATGATTCCAGCTGCCCCTCATCATTGCAGTGAGCTCGAGCTGCCCCCTAGTCGAAACGTAGACGAATGCTAAATAACGCCGGGCCAGCTTGCGTGCGCGATGGACAGTGCAGGTCGCTTCATAGATAAAAGCTCGGGTTCTTTTGGTTATCTGAAAAGGCTGTCCAAATGTTGCTGAAATGCTCACTCATCTCATAACTAATATAGCAGGCATGAATCTGAGGTTTCCAAGCCCAAGCCATGTCGGGCCTCTCCGGGCAAGCTCGACAGCAGTTGTGCCAGGTCACCATCATCGGTATTGTCCGTTCGTTGTAGTCGTGATGCCTCTTGCGTCTCGCGTTCGTGCTGTTGCAGCTTCCTGCCCAGATAATCGAACGCTGCTGATAATCCAAACTCCCATCAATGCACTTTCTGTACAGCCAGGAGTATTCTAGCACCGAAAAGCCCAAATCCAATCACAGCTCGTCACATCCACCTCTGTACAGCCCAAGAATAGCTCACCTTGTCTTCTGCTCTCACGCCGAAGGTCCAGCCTTGATGACCTCCTCGGTTGCTTCATCGGCGTACTTCTGGAAGTTCTCATTGAACAATTTGCCCAGTTTGGTCACCTCCTCGCCAAAGTCGGCGGAACCAGTCCATGACTTTTTGGGGTTGAGAAGTTCATCGGGCACGTTCGGGCACGTCTTGGGGACGCTGAGGTTGAACACATCATAGGTTTCATACTCGGCGTTCGCAAGCTCCCCAGAGTGAATGGCGTCCAAGATGGCACGGGTATACTTCAGCGGGCATCGCTTGCCACCAGTGGTAGCACCGGCACCAACCCAGCCGGTGTTGAGCAACCACGCGTTCGCATTGTGCTCGGAGATCTTGTCAGCAAGCATCTTTGCGTACCGCATCGGGTGCAGAGCCAGGAAGGGTTGCGCGAAGCAGGACGAGAAGGTAGCTTGCGGCTCAGTGACGCCGTCTTCGGTCCCCGCCATCTTTGACGTGTAACCAGAGATGAAGTGGAACATGGTCTGAGCAGTGTTCAGCTTAGAGATAGGCGGCAACACCCCACGGGCGTCGCAAGTCAAGAGGATGATGTTGGAAGGATGGTTGTCCGACATGCAGGGAATCTTGGCGTTGTGGATGTAGTCAATGGGGTATGCGCAGCGAGTATTCTCCGTCAGGGTGGCATCATCGTAATCGACTTCTCGGGTCTCGGGGTCGAAGACGACATTCTCCAAAACTGAGCCGAAGCGGATGGCATTGAAGATATCGGGTTCCTTCTCTGCGGACAGACCGATGCACTTGGCGTAACAACCTCCCTCAATGTTGAAGACGCCCTTGTCTGACCAGCAGTGCTCGTCGTCACCGATCAACTTGCGCTTAGGATCGGCTGAGAGCGTTGTCTTGCCAGTGCCGGACAGGCCAAAGAAAACCGTCACATCACCCTTCTCGCCCTCGTTGGCCGAAGAGTGCAGGGTCAAGACGTTGTGCTTGACGGGCATCTCGTAGAAGAGGACTGTGAAGATACCTTTCTTCATCTCACCAGCATATTCGGTGCCGAGGATGACCATCTCTTTCTCCGCAAAGTTGATGGCGACACTGGTCGCGCTGGTCATGCCAGTCGTGTATCGGTTGGCAGGGAAGGATCCGGCATTGTAGATAACATAGTCGGGGTGGAAGTTCTTCAGCTCTTCGCGTGTCGGTCGGATGAGCATGTTGCGCATAAACAGTGCATGATAGGCACGGGCGCAGACAACTCGGACGTTGATGCGGTACCGCTCGTCCCAGCCGGCGAAGCCATCGATGACATAGATGCGGTTTCGGGTGTTAAGGTAGTCAACAGCTCGTTCTCTGTTGATCTTCCAGACCTATACCATTGATGTTAGTAATTTCTCAATCCAGTAATTTAAAGAAGCATGAGCAAAGGCGCAGCCTCAAGGATTAGGTGGGGCCCGTAAACAGAAGCCGCAATAAGTTGCCGAAAGTGATAAGACCTTGGTGCAGGCCGCTAGCCCCGGCCGTGCGCACCCGCAGCCAAGACCTGAAGCCGCGGCATAAAGCACAGGCTGCGTCATGCCCATTCCGAGCAAATGCGGGGCAGGACCACACGTCAATCCGCCCGTGTTTCCTGCCGTCCGTGGGCGCATCTGCGAACCACTGCATCATCCTGCATTGCGGGGGAACGGCACTCTGTCGTCGTCGAGTTTCGATCGATGACCAAGAGACAGCTGAGGCCTTTTCGACTAGCCGCATGCTGGAGGTCATGACATGTGCTCAATCTTCTCGAATAGGCGGACCAGTCTTGAACGACAGGTAGAAAGCAGAGCAATACTAACCTCTGGCGACATGGGTTTGTTGACGGGTCCCCACCAGACATCCTTCTCCGACCCTTCCTCTTTGACCACACGCTTATCTAGCGGGGAACGGCCGGTCTTGGAGCCTGAGTATGCCGTCAGGGCTCCTGTCGAGGTAATTGCAGTACCAGTCTCGTAAACCAGAGCATCCTCATATAGAGCAGACACTGATGGGTTCGCAACGATGGCCACACGGTCGTAGTCGATATGTGCGCTCGTATGTAGTTCTTCCTCGAGCTCCGTGTGCTCGCGGGATGGCCTGGGTGGGAAGTGAGCCGAAAGTCATGCGTGGTCAAGAGGGGTCGACAGCAACATACTCGACACCACCTGGGTGGAGAGCGGTCTTGTTGACCGACTGAGAAACCATTTTGGTAGAGTAAGCTCGAAGCTGGGTTTTGGCTAGATCAGAACGTGCTGTGCCAGTTGCTGGGGAGGGTGAATGAGGACGGATCTGGTGCACAGCTTGAAGACGGGAAGAATAGTCTGAAGGCATGATTCGGGGAACGACCTGATATTGTATCTTCCTGACGATGGGGCCAAGCCGAACAGGAGTGCTATTCCCGATGAGATCGCGGGAGAGATCGGAGAGCGACGAGTTGGGTCTGCGTAGAGAGGGAATCCGACTCTGCCCGATCAAAGCTGATTGGAAGAGACGAAATGCCGTGTTCTACTAATTGGAGATCAAGTCCATAGCTGCGGAGCATGCGATAATGATCGCAAATGCCCTTCTTATTATCGTGGTCGAGTACAGAGAAGTGGAAAGAAAGTGGTGACAGGAAGGGAGGGTGACGTTGGACACCTGGAACTGAGGTGGAGGCAAACGTTTCCGTCCGCAGCTCCAGCTGAGGAGAAACTGACACCATTGACACATTATTGCTCGTCCCCCGCTACCAATTACCGGATACCTTGCAGAAGCCGTTCGTCAACAGCCTGTCAGCTGCAATGTTGTTTCTATCCTCTCGGCTGTGCGTCACGTAAGGCCTCTTTGTGCTCGAGGCAAATGTGATCCTCCTCTTGGCCGCTCAGTGATTGTCCCAAAAAAGATAGCCATGACGAGGGGTTGCATGTCATTGACGTGTCCTATTCGAT